TGCGGTGTTCCCCCGTCTCCTCAGAGCCCCTGACGGCGCTGCCGCAGCCCGAGGCCCCCGGCGGGGGCTGACCCCTTCGTGAGGAAACACCAACACCGGGGCCTCGACCAAGCCTCGGCGGTGCGGGCCCAGCAACGGGAGTGAGGCCTGGTACCTGATCAGAGCTGTGGAAAGTTTATATTCCTCACAAAACGGCTGATTCCCCTGTAATTCGTATTTTCAGTGGGATTATCCAACAAACCACAGTCAAACCGAACTATTCCGGAACTGGCTAATTATAAACTGCAGAACAGGCCTAGGTTTTAGTCACCCTGCTCTCCTAACTCTGCTCCAGAGAGCAGTGCAATTCAGGAAAGCCCCTTTTCCTCTCAGTAAATCGCTACTGCCAGTTTCAGCAGCGACAAACTCGTGCGCCTCTTTGCTTAGTTTGTGAACTGCTGTGGGCAGCGCTTACCGCCCGCTGAGGTTCCCTCGGCCACGTGTTTCCACGCAGCGCTGAAACGGGCCCTTTGGGCGCTGCTGGTTGAGGGCGCTGCGTTTCCTGCCAGACAGATCCACCCTAACTGGGGAAATCCCCAGACTGAAGCAAGATAATAATCTAAAGTCTTGTTGTAAGAAGCATTCTGAATGTATGCAACGTATCTAAGAGACTGGACTATCAGGGCTAGGAAGTCTTCGTCGACACCAGTGAATTCAAAGCTCAGCCAAGGCCAGCTGGCAGGGAACGGCCCATGCCAACGCTGGTGAGCTCCCTCAGCTCCCAGCGCAGGACGGCCCTCTGCAAACTGGCTGCTGGGAACAGTCCCTCCCAACTGCCAGGGGCTGGGAAAGGCTGGGAATGGTACTTGATGAGAGCCAAATTTGGGCTGGGAAAAGTTCTGGCAATGCACCAGTAGAGGCAACTTCATTTCAGTGCCAAAGATCCTTCCTGAGCATGCTTGGAGTGTATGGCTGTAGATAAATAGGTACAGACAGGCAGAAAGCACTGCTGTCAGTTTTTACTTCCCAGTTAAAATTTTTACTTTTTTCCTGGAGTTAGGAGCTTTTCACTTGGCTAATCAAGTATTATCTCAAAAATGAGGGAAAGTCAGAGGTGAAATTCTATTACCTGTCCAAGTCCCACAGTTTGTTAAGTGTGACACTATACAAAGAAACAAAATACAATTAAAAAAAAAATCTGTACTATATATGCTGGAGGGAAGGCACTGTTTTGGGGTACTACTTTCCTAACCCAGTAACTCCCCTCTGCCTCAGACTGTAGCACAGTGCTTCTGACGTCCTCTGCCTCAGTACAGATAGTATAAACCTCCGTTACTGCTGTCTTGCTCTGCTCCAAAAAGAGAAAGAAAGCTGGGCTCTCAGCAGATGATCAGAAGGAAGAGGATCTTGGGTGCCAGATGTAGTATTGGCTTTTCCCCAGGTCCTCCAGCGCCTGCCTTCTGTGCCCCCTGTGCTTTCCTTTCCAATAGATACAGCCAGTTTCTGAAGGAGCTCAGTGCCGAGTTGATGAGTGCCCTCAGTCACTCTGTGTCTTGCTCTGGGCTCTACTTCCACGCTGGGTCTCGAAAATGGTGGGGACTGAGGATCCTTCTGCTCCGTGTGAGCTGTCTCCTACAACTGCCAACGTCCTGTTACTCAGAGTTGATTCACAAGAGCTGTCAGAAGTGGTGCTCCCTTCCCCCTGAAATGTTATCAGTCCCACGCAGATCTTTTAGGTGACAAAACTACTGTGACTCACAAATGACATGACGGTGGTTAGAGGGTCCTGAGCTGTCACAGAGGCTAAAGCTTGAGAAGGCTATTCACCGTGATTTACCTTCTCAGACTCCAAAACATGGAGGAATTTCAGAAAAAGCCATCGTATTTTAAATACATAGCTTTTCTGGAATATTTTGTGCGTGTTGGCAAGTTGTTTTTCCCTTCAGAGTTCAGAATGAAAATGTACTGACTGCCCTAAAAAGCTTACACTGCCACTTCATATGCTGTGTGTTTAAACAGCAGCTTTAATCCTGCAGCGGGGCCTGTCCAGTTTCTGTCACGAGGACTGTAATTGCATGAAAATAGTAAAACACAAAAGCATGATATACATTTAGAAATAAAAGTGGAAACTGTTGTTAACACATTAGTTAAAATACAAACCTAAATGCCAAGAAACCAGATGCTACCTAATTTGACAAGGACACCTTGATTGCATAC